TGCGTGTTCTAGGTGAACCGTGCTGCACAGGGACGGGGAAGGATAGACGAGTGGCAAAGGGACAGATCTCCCGGTCCCTTGTGGCCTGGGCTAGCTAGGGGAGGGCAAGTGCCTATTTTCTGACAGGGGGCCCAATAAGGGTCCTCCTGGCTCTAGGAGGACCACTTCCTCCCCCACCCTGGGAGGGAGGAGGCTGCTGGGGGCAGACAGACCTGGCCAAAAAAGGAAACTAAGAGAAGCGGAAGCTTTCTGGCCCCAAAGCTACCAACCAGAGTAGAGGAAGTATGGTCAGTCTCTTGTGACATAGCCAAATGCCGTGTGGTGGCTGAAATGAGGGACACGGGGCTGGAGGCGGAGGACAAGACGTCAACTGGGACCTCAGCTGTCAACTTCAGGATGACCCACTCCCACCACTGCCCCCCTGCAGGCTACTGACCCCTTCCGCTGCTCCGAGCCTCGGCTTACCACCTACGCGTTAGGGGCCCTGGCCTGGCCCTTCGCAAAGAAGGGTGCCCAGTTCTCCCTGTTTCTCCTGAGGGATGAAATGAGAGAGGGGTGCACAGCTTACACAAGCATGCCAACCTCCTGCCCTCACCTGCAGCCCACTCCCCCCATGCTCCCTAGCCCAAGGAGTGATCTACACCACCCCCCACCCCCACCTCTCCACCCCCCCAACACTCCCCCAAGGAGGTGAAGGTTCCTGGAAGGGGAAGCTGGTCACAGGAAGGGCATTTGCCCCTCCCCTATCAGCAGTGCCTAGATGGTGCTGGTGGAAAATCTTCCCCACCACGGAGAGCCTCTGCTGAGATACAGGCTGCCTCATCTGGAGAAGCCCGCAGTCAGGAGTTAGGCAGAAAGCTCCGGTCCCCCCAAACCCAGCCCTGGCTTTCCATCAAGGAGCTATGACAATCCAAAGGCCTCCCCTACCAGCCATGGTCCTTCCTCCCACTGGCTGTGTAAGGTCAAGTGGCCCAACTCAGATGTCCCCTCCTGCAAGAAACCTTTCTGGAGCCCCCAAGCCCTGGCTAACTCAATGTCTCCTTCCTGGGGGCACCCACTCAGCTCCTCTCCTCTCCCTGGTCCTAGTTGCAAGTTTTGGGGTCGGAAATCCTGTCACACCAGGTACCTCCTCCTATCCCTCCCCTCCCCAACTAGCTTCTACTCCTCCTGCCATCCCAACTTACCACGTCTTCCAGGAAGCCCTCCCTGATTGGGCAGACTGGGTTAGGTACCTCCTCAACCCCCATATCTGCCCTCTGTTATAGGTCCTGCCTCGTTTTATTGTAACGGAAGGTTGACCTGCCTGTCTGTCTCCCCATCTACACTGAGAAGTCTCATCCCTGGGTCCCCAAGCCCTGCCCTGGGACCAATACAAGGTTGGCCCCAGCAAATGTCAAATGTCAAACACGCTAAATTACTACGTCACCTTCGAGACTACAGACTAATGAACCACCTCCTCCAGCTGATCTCAGCCTTCAGCTCATGAGACAGAAAGATAGGAAAGAACACAAAATTCGAGGATTTCCCCTGACATCCCAGGTTTCAATTTCTCCTCTGTGCTAAGGTTTGAACCAGCCACCATAGCCTCTGCCCATCCCAGAGAGGCAGGAATCCCAGGGAATCCATGTTCTGATAAGTATAAGCTCCCCCCTCCACCCACTTTGGGCATCTGAGGAAACTAAGCCTCAGAAGAGGCAAGTACCCGTCCAGAGTCACACAGAAAATCAGGTCAGAGCTAGGACGAGTGCCAGGCTCCAGACCTCTGCTCTCTTTTCCCCACACTGTGAATGTCTTAGGCCTATGCCCGCATCCGCCCCACCCCAGCCTGCTCTCAGAATCTTCACTATCCAGGACGGAGGGGCCACACAGCTTGGCCAGACACTCCCGGTGACATCACTGAGTAGCTCTCCCAGCTCAGGAAACCCCCTCTCTTCTCCTGGGAACTGCCCCCCTTCCCTGGTTCTACAGGGGGAGTTCACCTTGAAGGTGATGAGCACATCTAAGTCCCCAAGTGGGCAAGGATTTCCACTGGAAATGCTGATGCTTGGGGAGCCCCAGCTGTGACCTCATCCCCTGGGGGAGATGACAACAAGCCCCTGCCCTGGGGAGTCAACCCATAATGGCTCCCCCAGCAGCCACAAAGTCAACAACAACATCCTGTTGTTTAATTGGACGAGAGAGAGCTCAGAACCAGCTGGGCAGGTAGAGACTGGAGACTGGGCTGTTTCTCGCTGTGGACATGCTGGCTCACCTCTGATCTTGGATGGAGGTCAGGACCTTCCTGGGCTTCTCCATGTCCTCCAAGCAGGGATGGAATGAGAGAGGGGTGCACAGCTTACGCAAGCATGCCAACCTCCTGCCCTCACCTGCAGCCCACTCCCCTCCAGTCCCTGCTGGCAGGGACGTCAGGCCCACACTCTGCATCTGTGACTGGTCCATGTGTCCCTGATGCCCTCAGAGGACAATCTCCAGAGCCCTTCCTGATCTGGCGAGCTCGGAGGGTCAGAGACAGGTGCAGAGTTCAAGGGCACCCAGCAGGTCAGTGCTGACACATCCGTCTCTCTCCAGGCCAGGCCTTCATCAGGCTGGAGAGGCATCAGGCTGGGAATCTCCCAGAACTCTGGTTGAATTTTTCCCTGAAGCTTAGGAGTCTAAGCAACACCAAATAAATAACAGAGAAGAACCCTTCATACCTATTCCAGTCCCCACACCTGTCCTGGCTGAAAACTAAAACCCCAGTCTATGCCTCATAGAAAAGTGGCTCCAGAAACACCATTATCTTTGGTCTAGTCATTGGTAGAGGCCCACCCTCCCAGCACCCCACCCCCTGGAAGACAGGGACCTAGGTCTACAGCAAGGCTGGAGGGGCCTCTTCTCGGCCTACACCCCGATTTGCCCAGCCCAAGCCCATTCCTGTCCGACGGCCATGTGTCACCCCACAGGAAACAGGAGGCACCTGTCAGCCAGGCATACCGTCACCAGCTGGTGGTCCTGGGGGAGAGGCTGATGGCAGGGTCTGTCTGGCCAGTGGGGCGCCTGGCACTGGCGAAGATGAGCCAAGACTGTCTCTGGACAAGATAGGTGAGGGGGTGGCAGATCCCAGGAGGGATCGATAGTGCATTACCCCGCAGAGGGCATGGCCAGTGCGGTCCAGTGCGGTCCAGTCGTGAACTGCGTGAACTTCTTTCCACTGCAGTGGAAAGAAGAGCTAGAGCTGGGTTGGGAGCTTTGAAAGTGGGTAAGAGGACTGAAAGCATCTTTAAATAGCCCCAGGGTGGGGACTAAGTGCCCTGGATGTGGAGGTTCACATTAAGTGCTAAGAACTGGCTGTGCATTAAGTATGGGGGGGAGGGGTCTTAGGACGACTTGGGGGTAGGGGCAAGCAGAGCCATATGCAAGGGGTTTGGTGCAGGGGGAGATTCCAGAACACTCAGATATGGCCATGAGTCCTCTTCAGAGTGCCCAAATGCTGTGCTCTCCAGGACAGCCAAGGGGACTGAGGCAACGCAAAGATACTGGGAATTCAGAGAAAGCCTGGGCTGGAGCTGCTATGAGTGAGGACTGTGCAGGTGTCCACCACGAACAGACGACCAGAGGTCCAGCTTCCTGCTCTACTCCCACCAGGAACACCTCTGGCTGGGTAGCAGAGCTCGCCCCCAAAGTCCCTCCTTTATGGCCAAAAAACTGCCTAAATCCTTCTCCCCTCCCTAACTCAGAACTAGCTCTGGTCCTGTGCCAGTTCAGAGCCCCCAGTCTGCACTGTGAGCGCACATGCTGCAGAGTGACCTTGGGCAAGTCACATTCATTCCCTCCGCTGCAGCTGCAGATCCGGCCACTCGTTTTGTGTGGGATTTTTTTTTTCCCCCGATCTCTGCTAAGAATACCTGCCCCAGATAATGCTCAGGCTCTGGCAATTCCTGCAAACCGCTGCAGGCATCAAAGGCTCCCAGCAGGGCCAGATCAGACCAGTCCCCCAACCCCCACCGGGAGTCCACCACCACCACAGGGGGGCCGCAGTGCCGCCAAATTTGGGGGACAGAGCCCTGTCGGTCTAGGGGCGGGGAAGCATGTGTGTGCAATGCAGGGGAGGGGAGCTCAGCCCCTCGTGGCAGAAAGCCTCAAACCCCACCTAGCCCGCTTTCTGACCCATTGTACAGGGGTCTAAAGTGAGGCGCCCTTGGGGGAGACTCTGGTCCCCCAGGTTCACATATCCATCGCGGCCTAAAAGCTGCACACCCACCCCAGATCCGCCGCCTGGGGGTCCCAACGACTATGCCCCACCCAACGGGCATGCCCCCCACGCTGGCGCCGATTCCTGGTGACAACTGCCACGTGCGGACAAGGGGGGAGCGGCCGGTCCCGGCATTGCAGAGGCAGCGCCCGGGTGCCCCAAGCCTCCGCACCGCACTGTGGCCCGGCTCGCCACAGGGTGCCCACCCCTTTACCCGGCCCGCGCTCCGGGCCGGGGCGGGGGCGGGGGCAGGCAGCGGGGTCTTTGTTCCCGCAGCCGGAGCGCAGCGGCGGCGGCAAGGGGTCCGCGCCCCCCTTTGCCGGCCCAGCCTGCGCCCCGCGCGACAGCGGAGCCCGCCGCTCAAGAAGAGGAGACCTGGGTGGGGGGTCCCGGCCGAAGAAAGGGTCCTGTACTGAGGTCCTGGCGCTGAAGGACCGAGAGAGGGGCCCTCTCCCTCCCCTGCGCCCCTCGGCCGAGAGAGGGGCCCTCTCCCTCCCCTGCGCCCCGGCGCTGCGGTTCCCGGCTGGAGGCAGACTTGGAGCGACTTAGCCGGGGCTCCGGCCCCCGCCGCTCGCTCACCGCGGCGTTACAGCCCGCTCCGGCGTGCCAGAGCGCACACTCACACGCTCACCCAGACCCACACGCTCCCCGCGGGGACAGCCCGGGACCCGCAGTGGCGCGCACGTACTCCCTCCGGGGCCCGCACACTCCGCACCCGCGCGGCGCGGCGTCCGATCCCGCGCCCCACCGGCCGCGCGGCGCCGCCTACCTTTCCAGACGGTGGAGATGCGGGGTCCGTTCTTCGGGTGGCCTTGGGTGGCGGCGGCCGTCCACAGCAGCCGCAGCAGCAGCAGCAGCCGCAGCGGGAGCCGGGACCGAGCCAGCGGGCCGGGGACGCGGGCGCGCTGGGCGCCAAGGGAGGCGCATCCGGGCGGAGGCGGTGTCATCCCGCAGCCCCGGAGCGACAGCGGCGAGCAGCCTAGACTGAGCCAGCGCCCCACGAAAAGCAGAGCTAAGGCGAGGAGGCGGAGTCAAATGCTTGACCCCACCCTCCCCCTCCCCGCCCCCCCTCGCAGCCTTTCTCGCCTCCCTGCTGCCCAAGGGGGGCGCAGTGCCCACCGCCGGGGAACCTTCGGCACCCACCCCCTCCTCGGCAACTCCAAGGGGAGAACCCAGGCCGCCAGGGACTAGACAGACTTACGGTCTTCTGTGATCAGTGGCAGGCCCTGTCCCCTCTCTGAGCCTCAGGTCCACTCCCCTCCAACCCATGAAAAGGTTGGCCTAGAAGCCGGGGGCGGGGGGGGGGGGGGGGGGGGGACACGGGACTTCTCCCAGGGCACAGACCAGGTAACCTCACTAATGGCCAGCTAAGTGGTTTGGACCCTGAAAGCTGTAGTTCTCAGAGGACAGGCTGGCTGGCTTGAGTGGACACGGTTTCCTCTGAGCCTATAGGGAGGAGCAAGATGCTTTCCCCTAAGGGCAAGAGGGCAGAGGGTAGATGATCTGTGGGGAACGCTCAGCACCCCATCACTGCTCTGCTGTGAGAACACGGAATTTTCATCTTGGCCTGACTCCCTCCCCTCTCCCTCCTCCTCCCTTCCCCAACCAGCAGCCTTCTGGGCTGCCTCCCCCCAGCCAGCTGGTGTATGCTCAGAAAATCCAAACTCATTTCCATGTGAGTGGAAGGGGATATAATTAAGAAGGCCCCTTTCCCCAGTAGAAAGAGAAGGGAGCATCCTGCATTCCCAAGACTCACTGTCCTGGACGCAGGGTCAGACCAGCTTGAGGGAGTCTCTGCCCACAAGGTGTACCGGGCTCAGCCATGCAGGCAACCCAATGACCCAGTGGTGATGCCGGGCAGGATCCAGACCCAGGCCCTCTGCAGGTCTGTGAACAGTCCAGGCAGCTCTGCCATTAGCTCATCCTCTCAGAGCCACATGCCTGCCCTTTGTAAAGGGGTCTCCTCTCCCTCGGGCCAGAGAGGGCCCAGACTTTCCACCTCTGCTTGTGCCTGAGGGAACCACGGATGGGAATTCCACTTCTCCAGTGCTTACTGGATACCTATCTCCAGGTGGGCTGCAGTGAGAGGAGACAGGGTGAGGAGGAGGGAGCAGAGGGGCACATGGGCCTCTGGGACCCACACACCTAGCTGGACTTGATTCACTCGAGGCAGATCCCAGCAAAGACAGGGTGCAGGCCGCCGAAGGCCGCTGTGGCCCCAGCCCCAGCTCCAGCCTTTTGCCCTGCTCCATGGCCAGGAAAGTTTTGTTACCAGGAAGTTTTGCTTTACCATTCCATATTTTGTTTCCAGCTATCCCCTTCCTTCTTCCCTATGAGCCCCAAGATACCCCAACAGGCCAAAAGGTGAAATCAAGATGCCTCCAGAGACAGTGCAGGGCTAGGTTCCTGGCCTCCAGGGTGAGGCCAACAGCTTGCTGATGCCCAGAGGTACAGTGCCCCAAAGAGGGGGAGGCTGGGGGCAGTTCAGAGAGCCCCTCCGCAGGCGTGCACCCGAGCCTATGGCCCTGAGGCCAGCAACATATTCTGGCCTTGGCTAAGTCTCCAGGACACACACTCTCCAGCCCAGGGCCTCATCTGCTGAGCTGTATGGCCTCCAATGTCTGTCCTCTCTGCAAAGATAAGGAAAATTAAGAAATCACCTGCTCCTGCCTTTAAGAACGGAGAATTCCGAATTAATGATAACACTGCCCATGTGCCAGGCAACCCACTTCCACCTACGTTACCCCCAGCAGTTCTACATTGTCTCCCTCACTGAGGGTGTCCTTATGACAGGACACTGAGGCACAGGGACGGGGAGCGGGGACTGCAATGGCTGGCACCAAGGTCACTCTGTGCTGTGCATGCTCCTCTCCGCAGCCTCGCTCTAGCTCCGCCCCGCAGCCTCGCTCTAGCTCCGCCCACCTTCACAGTTTTCTAAGGTACATGCTATATTATTCAGCTCCCTTTGCAAAGAAGAAAACCAAGGAACAGAGAGGGAATGAGATATACCCAAGGTCACACAGCTAGGTAGAGAGGGCTGGGGTGGCAGCTCAGGCTGTCTCTCTGGGGCCTCCACCCTCATCTTCTACATCATAATGCTCTGCTCTCCGTGCACTGCCCCCTGTTGCTGCTGCCTGCTGTGTATGGCTGGAGTCTGGATCCAACTGATCCTCAGAAAGACCCAGGCATGGCCCAGGTTACCAGGTGCCGGGCAGAAGGGCAGGCCAGCACGGCTGGGCTCAGCCTCCCAAGCAACAGGGCAGCAGATGGAAACCGGGGTAGATACCAGGGAAGTTTTTTTCCAGGCTGGGGTGGGGATGAGGGGGTAATGCTGAAGACTGTTCCACCTCATGTCCGAGGGTGGGCCTCTGGCTGGCTTCTCCATGCCCAGTTTAGCACCTGCTGCACTCATGGGCACCCCCAAGCCAGCCAATCTAGGGGCAAAGGGCCAGATGGCAGCCCACTCCTACCAGCAGCCAGGGGAGGTGAGAACTAGGCCTATGATTGGGGCAGTAGCTCTATAGAAGGAGAGAGCAACTAGACTGTGGGCAGGTACCCAGGGTCGGGAAAGCAGATGGCCAAGACTGGTGCCTGGGCATGGACTTCCCTGCCTCAGGCAGCATAGGAAAATCCACTGAGAATGGTAAGGTGCTGACAGGAGCCTGCCTGCCTCACTGGGGGCCCAGGCTAGCTTTGGGGCCTGGAGCAAGTGTGGGGGCATAATCCCCATTCACAGCAAATGGTGGGAAACTGACCAGGAGAAGCAGCCACAGATGGGAATGCTGATGGGTCTGAGGGGGAGGGGTGTGCATTCCTGTCCTCCCCTTCCCCATGGCTCCCCATATGGGGGACGGGAGATGGGGGAAGAAGGCTGGGAGAAAGAAATGGTGCAGGGCCTCCTATCTAGGAGAAAAATACCTTGAAGAGGTCTTCCCTGTGGGTAGCTGAAGCACAGCCAAATCCAGAAGGCCTCTTGGGGAGTCAGACTCATGGACACACACAGACCTGAAGTTCAGAGCCCCGAAGCAGCACTGAGACCCCTCCCCAGCCTTCCAAGCAAAGACTTTCAGGGCCCTATTCAGTGCATTCCTCCTCTCTCCAAGCTTTCTCTGACCTCCTCCTCAGCGGATTCCACAGCTACACTTGGTCTTCAAAGGAGTGACCCACCCCTCACAAGAGCGCCGTTATGGGCACAAGGAGCCCAAGCCCCTAACAGCCCCTTCATGCAAGACCCACCATGCTAGAGGCCTCAGAACTTGGTGTCCACCCAGGCCTCTGTCCACTCACAACAGCAGCTCTTACTGTCCATCCCCCGACCACCACTAGCACCCATGGTGGCGGTGGGGGGAGGCGGCAGAGACCAGGGAAATCCAGAGAATGGTGAAGCGGACAGGGCAGGGCTGGGGAACATGGGGAGGGCACATGCTCTGTCTACAGGGCAGATGCTACTCAGCCCCAGCCACAGGGGCACGGGAAAGTCCACCCAGTAGGACAGGCAGTCTGATTTTTCAAGAGAAGCTGAAAATTGAATTTTTATTGTAACTCCCAACTCCCAGTTTTAAAATACTGGCAAACACCTCAAAGGCAATGTAGACCATGTCTGGAAATTCCAACTTGCTGTGTGCTCACTGTATGCAGGCCCATGAGTATCTCATGAGTGCAGGCAGACACCAAAGCCTTAGCTTCCCCTGGACATGGCCCAACCCTCTGAAGACCACGTCAGGGTTTAGGGATGGACCACGTGAGGTGCACACGGGAAACCCTTCTCGGCTTGTGCGGGCCCTGGTCCCACAGCTCACCTTTCCCTTAGTGTTCTGCCTGCCCCTGAGACTCTGCCAGGATGTTCACCTTGAGTGCCCGCCCCTCCCCAGCTATCCAAGCCTGACTCTTCCTTCTAGGCCAGCTCAGCCACCGCCTCCACCTCCTACCCTGAGGGTCAGCACTTCCCAGCAGTAACCCATTCCTGCATCTCTGTTCTCTGTCCTAGTTATTCTAGATGCATTTGTACTCGTTTGGTTCTACCCTAAATTGCCAAGATTGGGGTCTGGCCTGCTAAGCAGAGAGACAAAAGTAAAAACCTACAGGGGGATATTCAGTGATGGCCAGGAGATTCGCAGATAAGAGCTAGACCTTTTCTCCTTCCATCAGGGCACTTAGCTCACCTAAAAACATGGCAGGTCCTCCCATAGCTTCCAGGGGCAACCCAGTGTCTTAGCCCCAAAACTCTGCCGGCTTGGCACTGGGCTTGTGGCAGGAGTGCCACCTGGTGGCCACTTTGGAACAGAGCGGAGTCAGGCTAAACTGTACAGATGAACTCCCAAGCCTTTGTGGAGACAAACTCTTCCCTCCGCCCCACCATACCCCCCCCACCCCCACCCCCATCTCTTGGCCTCTATTCTCAGTGCCCAAGGCCTGTGGCAGAGCAAGATCTCGTGGGAGTCATGTGGAGCCCATCTAGACTAAGAAAGTCTCCTGACTAGAAGTGGCTGGGAGGTCAGAGAAAAAATCCCAGCTGGCCACTGACCCAAGTTAGGCAAGGCCCTGCCCCAGCCCTAGCCTCCACTCCTCCGTTTACAGGAGGAGAAAGAGGAGCTATGCTTCTTCTGGTCCATCTCCCTCTAGACCAGAGAACAACAAAGCTCTCTCATCCTACTTTCTGCATGTCCTTCTTGTTTGCAGGTTGAAATACATATGCTTCTAAAACTATCTCTGCAGGATAGGCGTCCCAGGACCCTCCCAGCTCTGACGTGATGCCTGAGCCTGCTGGGCCTCCTGAATGAAAAGAAACACTTGCAGATATGTAGTCTCTCACAAACCATTCCCAGTCTTCCACAGATACAGTGATCTAAGAATCCCAATTCTTGACTCTCAGAGGTCATTCGGTCGGACCTGGGAGCCCTTCGCGGCAGCCCTGATGGTGATCATGCAGCCTCTCACATACCTCCAG